GCAGATACCAGCTACCAGACCAAACAGAACAGTATAGTGTGCATTTGTAAAATATTAAATGCCAGTTTGTTGGTGGGAGCAATTTCCATCTGGATCATGGCGTGCAGGGAAGGAAGGGGATTACCATGCTGTGATACTACGAAAACCACTCCACAAAGCTGTGGTGCCTAGGAAACAAGCTCCCATTATTGCAAATGAAAATAATGGTTGTGTGTGTTTGTGTGTGTGTGGTGTATACTCTGTAGGTGGTGGTGTGTGTTTGTGTGTGTGTGTGTGGTGTATACTCTGTAGAAAAAAACAGGCATAATGAGCAGTTTCTAAAGTAACTGTTCTGCTTGGCTCTGTTTCTCATGAGCTTTTACTCACTGAAAATGGTGAGGTTTGAGCCTATGAAGGTGCCTGTGAGCTCAGCAGCAAGTGAAATCTACCAGTAGTTCCGCAAACCTTTGCACCAACATAGCCCGCCCTGTGAATTCAGCACAAATTCATAAACACTTAAAATTAACTAAGGATTGCAAAACTGGAAATGATTGGTGTTTCTTCCCATGAGAGGCTCAGGAGCTGGGCTTCCAAATTTTGTATATTCCAGTTAGAAGCTGTACTCATCAGTCAGAGGTTGTGCTGTCTTTCACCATCTAGGGACTCAAGCTTTGTAGAGCCATAATGTACGTTTTGTTGGGCTGGGATTCATGGATTAATTCCAGTGAAGACCCTGTGCTGAGTCCTAGTTTCAAACCTGATTCATGAACAATGCTTCATGTCAACATTTCTAAGCAGAGAAACAAACTGACAGAAATCCAGCATACATACTTTATAGCACTCTGCTATTGTTATTACCATGATGATAATTTTTCTGCTGCTAAGGAGGTAGTCACTGGTGTCTTGTCTTTGTAAAACTGAGAGAGATTTATTGTCTGGTTTCACTTAATTTTGGAGAATGCTCAGGAAGAGTGGCAGGGGCCTAATTTGGCCAGGGCCGTACTCAGTAATTTCCCTACCATGCAGTTAGTCCAGACCTGATTAAAATGTGCCCTCAATAGAGGTTACTCTGAGCAATATGCTTGCTGTGGTCTGACATCTTGTGGCTGCCAAAACAAAACAAAACAAGCTTTATTGCTGCTAGGCTTTTAATTCTTTAGCCTGGACTCCAGACCAATTTCATCCTTTCTAAATAGGACTGATACAAATTTGCTGTGATGTTTGAAATGAAGCTTTATTATAAAACGGAGTGCTAAGATATTGAGAGGTGAAGCTCCATGTTACACAAAAGTGCCTGTCCTTCCTTGTTTGTTGCTTTAAATGACCACTAAATTGGAACATCACCATGGCAGTTTGAGTAGAGGGGGCGAGCTCATCCCCCCCCCCACAAATAAATCTATTCAGCCCTCCCAGAACACTGGCCATGGAGTAAAACTGGCTCATTAGGAGTGTGGGAAAGGGAAAGAATCAAACCCCCTCATCTCTGCTGTGGCCCCAATACAGACTGAGACTCTTGGTGAGGGCTGTAGCAAGCAACATAAAACAGCACACATCTTTGTACACGCAAAGACACATTTAATGTAACATGACTTGTGACTTGGTTTTCACCTTGAGCTTGTGCCCCCCCCAGCATTGGATGGAACTCCCATCAATCCTAGCCAGCACAGCCAATGATAAGACACGATGGGAGCTGCAGCTGAGCAAAATCGAAGGCCACAAGAGCCCCAAACCTGACCTAGGTCCAGGAAATTTACTGAATGCTGTGTTAGCTTTCACAAAGGTATTAAAGAACATTGGATGTGGGAATGCAGGGGTTTGAAAGAGAGATGAGCCATTTTATAACGGCTACAGGGAGCTTAGTACAGTATGGCAACACCAACAGTACTGGGGTATTGGGTGGTTTCTTTCTGTATAGGGCAGACCAAAGGTCAAAAGGTGTGGCCATCACACAATCCTGGTGCTCCAGTGAATATAAATTGCTCCGTATCTGTCAGGCCACCTCCCATAACTTTCCTTATTACAGCTTTGTTGTACAGAGAGGGCAAAGTCGAATTTACAGCCATATACCAAGCAACAACGCAGCTCCTTCCTTGATCATCGCCTGTGACCGGCAGAGAAGGGCTCCATGATCGGTTTAGAGCAAGACGTATCATCACAACAACTTAGAAGGTAACCATTTTATTACTGAGATCTCCAAGTTCACTGTTATCCCAGATCTACTAGTTTTTGAATCTTTCAGCAGCAGCCAAGCTCAGGATGAAAGAGTGTTTAGTTCATTCCATTATTATAAGAGAGTAAGCAAATTCTTCATGAAGTAGAATGGCACAGTGCAGTGAGGAAAATTCAGTGGAGAGGAAAAGGTTGAAAAACAAATAATCTGGGAAGGGATTCTCTGGAGTTAGAATTTTCAAGGACTTGGGACTTGAAATGATGTACAGTATGAATAACAAAACATATAACCAAAACACAAATACCATCACCACTCCAATCATTTGAACTGTGGGCCAAACTGTATCTTACAGATGGCCCTTATTAGATGCTAAAGTTGTTTACATCCAGAAAACCAATCACAGAAACACATTCTTTCATAAATCATACCCTGATGCAAGGTGAATTTTATCCTAGTGGTAAAGCACATTTACTCTACATACAAGGTCCCAAGTTCTGTGCCTATTATCTAAAAGATCACCTAAGGAAATGGGAAAAGTCCAGAAAGTCAACCACCCTGGAAATGATGACAAAGGCTGAGTAAATATAAGATTTGACATCTGTGTTATTTCTATGCAAAGATCAGAGGTATAAATGATAAAACTGGAGCTGGTGATGAAGCTAAACATAGATGAAAAAGAAATACATCTATGAATTTTGTGAAGATTTTGTGGAGATACATACAATGGAAACAAGAAGGCAAAATCATCAGGTGGTGACATTTTGGGTTTTTTTCTCAGTGCTGCTTTCTTTCCTTTCCTCTTTTATTTTCTTCTATTCTGCCTTCCACCTTTTTGACATACTATTTTGCTGTGTGTTTCAACATGTGAATGGGTTTAGGTGGCTAGTTGGATGGATGTAATAAAGTTTTTAGTTCAGGAACCAAAGTTTTAAAACTATCTGTCTTTACTTTATCCAAAGCGACAATGCAGGCCTTTAAATAATCTAAAGCTGGAATCCAATTAGTAGTCCCAGCTGGAGTAGACTCATTGAATAAGTGGGATTTATTTGCATTAAGTGATTATTTGCCATTTAGCAGCTGATGTAACGCAGCTAAACTAGTTGGGACTACCAAATGGATTGTGGTCTAATTATAAATATGTTTACAATATATCTCATGATGACTTCTGTACTATGATCTGCCTCTCTTACACACACATATCTCTAAAATATTTGATGGAATGGACATGAACGTACAGTTGTCTAAAATTATAATGAGTGTATTATCTATGAGCTTCTGAACTTCAGAAGAGAGTAGATTCCTTTGGCTTGTAGAGATGGTATATACCTTAGGTAGTCCAGGTATCTCCTAAAAATCATCGCATGATATGACAATGCTTCGTTTGCCATAGTAAACTGGTCTTCTGGCTATAGTCTTCTTTGCTTATGATTTCTAGAATGTTCTATTTCCACACATATTTCTAATACTGTATTCTCTTTGACTCATTTTGTCAAACTCATTGGCTATTACCAACATGATATTAGTATTTGAAATCTTCACCCTCATGATTAATGCCATTTTAAATTTTCTGTTTATGAAGATACTATAACATATGGACATTGCCTCAACAAATGTTGGTTCTTGAATACTATTGACTAATACTCACTAGAGTTGAGTATTAACATTGGTTTAAACAGGTAGGGCTTAAGCTATCACATTCACCAAGTGGTGCCCCGCTTGACGACGATAATCTGTTCCAGCAAAATCTCTGTAGAGCGAAATCGTCGTCAAGCGAAATAAAAAACCCCATTGAAATGCATTGAAAACTGGTCAATGCATTCCAATGGGGGAAATACCTCACCATCCAGCGAAGGTCCTCCATAGGGCAGCCATTTTCCGGTGCCTGTATAGCGAAGAATCCATCCTGAACACAGCAGGGAGCCATTTTGCACAGCAGGGAGCCATTTTGAAACCCCGATGATCAGCTGTTTTTGATCGTCGGTAAGCGAAAAATCGGTTCCTGAAGCAGGGAACCGATCATTGTCAAATGAAAATTGCCCGTAGAATCATCTTTTTGCGATCGCAGTAGCAGCAGTGGTATCAACAGCTTCATGGGTGAAAATATATATATTCACCCATGAAGCTGTTGATACAACATATATATATGTTGATATAACATATATATTAACATGTATATATATTAACAATTATATATATTTGTTAATATATATAACAAATATATATAGCAAATATATAAATAGCAGTGGTATCAACAGCTTCATGGGTGAATACACACGCACACATACACTCACACACACACACACACACCACTGCTACTTATATATTTGCCACTATTACTTATATATTTGTTATATGTATTTGTTACATATATAATTATTAATATATATAAATCAATGTTAATATATATAATTGCCATGGGCAGTATATAGACATTAGATTAGATTATATTTGAATTTTTTGTTGCATTTATAGCTGTATTTTGCCCAAAAGAAGTGAAAGATAATGTATATGGTCTCCTCCTACTTTTTAATCATTCCAATAACCTTAGGAGGTTAGGCTGAAAGATGGCAAGTGGCCCAACATCACTTAGTGATCTTCACATCTGAGTAGGGATGGAATTTATTAAGTGGGAAATATTAAAACTATTGAAGTGACCAATGTTAAATTCAAGTGAAAACTAAAATGTATTAACTATAGCTTTGTTCTGTATCAAACAGATAAAGTGAGGACAAATATTGTGATTAGTACCCAGTGAAGCTCTTCATAGCAGCAATGGATGGACGAGATAATATAAGGTGAGGAAAAAGGAATATCTCTAGAAATTTCTCAAACTTCTACATTTCAGACTAATATGTTTGTTTGCTTTCTCTACAGTGAAACTGGAAGCAGCTTCAACAGAGTCAATAGTATGTCAAGGCCCAGTGGAAAGTCCATTTACTGTAAGAACAGCTCATTTTTCCTTTCATCATTCCACATGTCCAGTTTATTAAGCTCTAAGCCTTTCCATGATTTACATGGAAGAAAGAGGTTTTTGGAGAAAGAGGTTTCTGGCCATTTTAAAACTTTTTTTGTACAGAGCTGTGGACAATGGTGATGTTATAGAAATCAGCAACAATAATATACAACCTCCTCTTTTTTTTTCCCTTCTGAGAGCTTTTATTCTAGAGAATAGGGACAGAGAAAACCCTTGTAGTTCCACCCCATCCTCTTTTTCTCACAGCAGTATTATAAACCTCTCCACCACAGTAACATACTTCAGTAGAATATGCCTACAAAGTTCCTTGATGTTTTCTTTTCCATGCACCAGAAGACAGTCATGACAATCATTAACATGGGCATAAAAGTTGTCTGTCACAGCTATGTAAGATCACTTCTCTCTAGTTCCCAAATAACAAGAATGGCAATCAATCCCCAGGAAGTCACCCTAGTCTAGGCAACAAACACTCACGTTTGAATAAGGAACTCATGCCTTATTTCAACTACCTAGCCCACAAACCTGTACTTATATTGTTGCCAGCGCCTCTCTCTTTTTTTTTTTTTTTTTTGGAAAAAAATTACATGCTACAATTCCTGAAATCCCCTAGGCAGCTGGGATTTGTCTGAAAAAAAATAACTTTACCAAAGTATGGGTTTTTTTGGGGGGGGGGGGTTGCCATAGGCCACCTTATAAGGTTGTCTTCCGAATGAATAATTGAAGCCTAAATTAGAGAACTATGCAATCCCCAATTGTTGTATATTTCATATGAGAATAAGAATGGTATTTTGTCTTCAAATGCTTATACATCTTTAAGGATTCTCACACATCTGCCAACAATAAATAAGTTTGTTCTTTTTTTCCCATCTGGTCTCTCTTGCTCTCACAGGCCAGCGGAGGCAATACTCTGAGGCTGTGTTAAAAGATCAGCATGAATTCCAGCACCGTGTGGAGGTAAGAGAAACCTGAGGAGCCACAGAAAGTTTCATTCCATTGGGTTTAATCAAAGTAAATGGATGTATATGACCCAAAGGGCAGAATTAAATTAGCCTTAAAAATAAAAAATGTGCCCTAATTTACAACCCCTTCAACTTAAAATTGATCTTGCTGAGTTTCCTTCATCAAATAACCAACTGGGGTGGGTGGTGGGGAAAGTTGATTGTTCTGCTGCTGAAATCAAGTAATGTTGATAGTTCCCATGAAGACCCATACTATCTAATAGACATTAGCAGAATAATCATATTTCCACCATCAAAGAGCAGAGACATGATTTAGGAGGGCTTCTAGGTCTGAGAAATCAGAGTTGTACATGAAGACTGTATTTATTAGCACAGTGCCAAAAATTTCTCCTGAGAGAATAGCAACAATTCTCATTCAGCGTGGTAGAAAATAAATATAAATACTTTTTTGAAAAGGATATTACAGGTGATATGTTAAGGAAATTCTAATCAAGGGATTGAAAGGCCATTTGCACACAGCTATGGAAACTCATAGGGAGATGTGGAACGGGTAAAACCATTCCTTACATATCTCACTTATCTTGAAAGTCCTATTGGGAACCAGACATTTGAAAGAGAGCCTATTCCTATATAAACCTGCCCAATCAATAAGATCTTCCAGGGAGGCCCTCTTCTGTGTCCCACAGTCAAGAACAGTTCATTATGTGGAGACATGGGGGCGTTATTTGCCACAGCAACCCAACTAAGTAATGCCCTCCCCTTGGAGGCTCCGTCAGTCCCAGTATTGGCATAATTTCAATGTGAGGTCAAGACCTACTTATTATAGTCTTTGAGGGTTGAAAATCATGACCTGCACAGATTTTAGTGCTTTGCTTTTTATGTTTGAGTGTTTTGATTTTGTGTTGTTTAATTTTAAATTGTTTTAAATATTTTATGTTTTAAAATTGTTTTATACAGTTTTGTAATCTGTTCTGAGATCCTATATAGGGCAGACAATAAATGAGGAAGGGAGGGAGGGAGGAAGGATGGATGGATAAAGGTCATTGCAAGTATGTTCCAACTTGATGGGCCGTCTGTGTAGTTCAGCCCAACACACCAGAGCAGAGAATACAGTTCTATGCATTACTTTTAAATCCCTCTCATAAGACCTTTGAGTTTTTCTGATGACCTGTTACTTGACTTGAACCCTCATGTCTGTCCCTCAGCACCTTCTGACTTGCCACACTGATGGCAAAGAAATTATCAATGCAGATAACTGTATTGATCGACTCAAGATTATGGATGCCCAAGGCCAGGTGTGGGGACAAGACATGTTTTTACAGGTGAAGGATCACAAGCTGCTGCTAACAGATATTGAGGCAGAGGTAAGCAGAACTCTTTTGTCCTATTTTGCACCATACTTACACCAGTGGAGCGACAAACTTCAGTGAGTAGCTAGACATACATCTTCTTTGGAAAGAAGCTGGAACCTACATCGAAGACCACCATAAGATAAAAATGAAACATCTGCAGAAGGGCTATAGCCCAGTGACAGTGTCTGCTTTGTATGCAGAATGTCTTAAGCAATCCCTGGTACCTCCAAGTAGTAGTTAGGAAGCATTCCTGCCTGAAACCTTGGAGAAAGCAGCTAATGTTGACAATACTAAACCAGGTGGCTCAATGGTATGGCCCATTATAAGGCAGGCCTTGGCTTCCTCATAGTGTTGTTACCAAAATGGGATAAAAGATCATAGCTGTTTGCAAAGAATTCTCCCATTGCATCCCTGTTTTCTCCCTCAAAGCTATGGTAGCCAGGATTCTTTGCTAGAGATATGTCCCCAACCATGGCCCATTTATCTGCTAATTATACCTTCTTCTTTTGCCTACACAGGAAGAGCTGGACTGCTACCCACTGGAATGCATCCAGGACTGTGCTTACATTCTTGACAGCTGCATCTATAACTCCATCTTGGCCATCACCGTGAAAGAGATTAACCTGCGCAGGACTAGTATCCTCCTCTTTCAATGCGAGCAGATTGGAGTGAGCAGCTTTGTGGAAGATTTGTAGTCAAACTACGTGCTAACATTCAGTGCTAACTCTTTTGAACAGCAGTTGTAGTGGACCCCAGTTGTGATCGTGTTGCATAGAATGGGAGTTCAATTCCCGCCTCCCATGCCACGTTCCTGACTCCAACCAGTTTTTCTCCTGTGACAAATAATAACTGATGAGTTGTTACTTAAGCAATAACAAGAATAAGTTATTACTTAAGAATAAATTACTTAAGTAATAACGTATTCACCAAAATTGGTGAGGAGGGGGTGAACTCACTCTCATTGGTCTCAATTCTGATTAGCCCTCTAGCTGATGCTATTTGGAAGACATTTAATACAAGCACAAATTCATTTAATATGTAATTTGGTCTTGATCTGGAGGAGGGCAGAGAAGAGAGGGGGGGGTGAAAGGGAAGAGAAATCTGAGGAAGCTGTTGTATAGTTTTGACCTCCAACGTCTATTCAGATATATGTGTTCTGCATTCTACATTGCTGTGAGTTAAGAAGACATCTGTAGAATGTTATATCCTGGGGATAAGAAAGCTATTCAGGGCAAAACACTGCATAAAAATGATCATAGGAACTGAAAATGCTGCCTGTACAGCTTAGGGCCAGATGTATGCCAGATGTACCTGAAACTGAGAATATAAGAAAGGCTGTACAGAGTAATTTTGGTAGATTTGGATAAACAATAAAAGAAACTGGTATGACTGTGGCATTTTTTTCCTATCCAGGCTGCATTGCTGAAGACCAAACTGGAGAAAGCCATCAGGGAGTGGAGAGATGAACGGCAGAACCATGACTTGCTCAGGTAGCAGGATAATTAAGGACTTGCAATACTGAGAAATAAGCCTTTCTCCTTCCGAGATCTGTTAGATTTAAATCATATACAGTGATTCCTGGTGCAAAACATTTGGCACTAGTGTGAGTTTCTATACTGTACCTTAAAATCCCAAGCAGATCTCATTTTGGATGCCAAACATGGAAGAGCACATATTGCTCCTGTCTAGGATCTTATCCAGGGGTGGGCAAAAAGTTGCCTTCCAATGGCTTTTGAACTATTAACTCTTATTGGAGCTCATAATTGGCTATGCTGACTTGTCTTAAAAGCATTTAGAAAGCTACACGTGATCTAAATAAAGACAAAGCCTTAGGTTTTAGATCTGCCCCTTCCTTGCTTGAAATGTGGACCTAGATGTGACATTGTTCTCTTCCATCTTCACAAGTGTTCCCTAACAATTTTTTTGAAGGAAGCTCCATCATCACCAAGCTTTCACAGCATCTTTGTATGGAAAAAAAATGAAGCATGATAATTTTTAATGCAAATTTTCTTAATTCCCCGGTCAGGAGCAACCTGGAAAATATGTTGTACCAGCAGAGCAAGGCATCAGGTAAAGGCAGACCACCAGGAATTCCCCCGGGCAGAAAGACATCTGGGCTGGAGCATACTCCTCCTCCTCCATCACAAGCACCTGAGCAGCTGCTGGGGCAGCATCCTTGGAAAACTGGGCCAGTCTCCATGGACCATGATGCTGGTGATCTTACAATCCACTTTGTATTACAGTGCAACACTGCTGTCTCACACTATCATGAATCAAGAAAGGAGTGAAAACTGACTCAACCCAGCACTTCTGAGAACCAAGATCGCTACAGAATTTGGCAAAGTTTCTTTTTTTGAACTTGTGCCCCCAGAATACTTCAGTTAGTTTTCCTAATGGCCATGCTAGCTGGAGGATACTGGGAGACATAATTTAAAAAAAACATTGTTAATCTTTGGATGGCCTGCATGTACAAACACTGGGCTGAAGGCTGGATCCTGCAGCAGCACTGCTTGTACGGGCATGCTGAGAATTGGCATAGAGGTGGATTTCGTGACAAATGTGGCCTTAGAGTGGAAGGAAGGACTTCCTCGGCACTTGCTTTGGGGGGCAGTTGTCCCCATTGACAGATGAACCTTCCTGTTACTTAGTCAAGGGTGCCTCCTTGCTGTCTCTCCATGCAACCAAAAAGGGCTTTTGCAGGAACAGAATGTGCATAGCATCACTGTGCTCATCATAGAGAATAGATTTTGGGGGATATTTTGGGAGATATTTTACAAGTACACTTTAAAAAGTGTTCTTGGCAAGTGGCTGACCTTGTGAAGATTGCTTATAATTGTGCCAGTGGCAATGCTGCAGAATGTCTACATTGTGTATTTAACTCTTGTGAATTCTGTTAGAGGACCAAAATGTTCCCCACTCCACCCTATCAGGTGCACAAGGATAAATTAATTCCAAATAGCTCTGGCCTCCAATATATTTGGGCAAGCCATAGGGGAAAGTTCATACATGCATAATCATCATTCCATGACTGTAGCATCAAGCAATGGCCTGCAATATTTGAAACAGAACTATAAATGATAGAGGGAATTTGAATCTCACATTACTACAAAAACAATACCCTATCTTAACAGTGCAATCCCCATCTTCAGTTGTAAACCACCAAGTGAGAAGTCACTGAGTGATGTACATTCATCACCTGATGACTTATTTAGATGATGAGCAATCCAGGGTGCTGTTTTGTCTCCTCTCATGCATAAGCCAGTTTCCAAAGTACATAGATTTGTCCATATAAGAAACTACAGGCAATGCATTGCCACTGAAAAGTAAACAAAGCTGGAGAATGGACGCCTGCTTTTACTCAGTGACAGGGTTGGGGAAACTTCTGCAGTTCACATTGTTGTTGGACTACAGCTTGTCATCCTGACCATTTGCCATGCTGGCTGGTGCTAATCGGAAATGGAACTCCCCCCACATCTCAAAGCACCACTTCAACAGTTCTCCCCTTCCAATGTATAACATTGCTTGGTAGCAGTAGAGAAAGATGGGGATTGCAACTGAAGAAGATAAGTGCAACCTTTTGCTGCCAACAAAAAATGGTTACTGAGATGGCCAAAATAGCCTCCACCTATCTCTGCCACAACCACTGCTTTTGGGTCCCTCTATGGAATCAGAACCAACTGGGCATCCAACCCAGGGGCAGAGAATGTAAATGCAAATTCCTGCTTTTGTGGCCCACCTATTATTGATCTAGGGGCTTTGATCATTCTAGACATTGAACCACGACTTGACCAGTGGCAGCAGAACAGTGCACTAGTGTGGGATAATCCTGGCCTTCCTCCGATGATACAGGATCTGGACAGAGACACTGTAAGTACTTTAGCTCATTTCTTGGATAGCAACTCCAATAGCTCCAAAAGCCCTTTCTGTGATGTTTCTCGACTAGAGGGACTTGGACTGAGACAGACTGGCCTTTGAATAAGCTGGGCAAGAAGGCTGAATGGCCTAAGAAAAGTTTTTGATTGAGTCATACATTTGGCTGCTTTGCACAACATCAGAGGGCATGTGAGGAGAGGCATGGAAGCCAATTGGAGGAGGTAGTAAAGAACTAGGGAAGTTAGCTTGACAAACAAGAAAGCCTACAAGGACTGCTGTAACTTCAGAGGCAACTTCTGAAATCAAAACAATCATAAGCAATGTACAAAAAAAACCCCCAAACCTTTGTACAGATAATTTGCCTCCTGCCAAATATGTTTCCCCTCTTTCTGAATCTGAAAGTAAATGGAACAGCTCATTGGTATAATGCTAAGGGTGTCTGCAGAAGTACTTCACTGCTGCAAAATGGGGAATAAAGTCTCTTAATGATATCTATGAATTGTTGACCTGACTGTAGTTTGTATATGTGTACTTCAATGAGACACCAATTTTAGGATGAGCGGAAGCAAACAACTCTTTGTTGCGTTCCCCACCACCACACACAGTACCGTTCTATAAAAATATGCAGCCACCAATGCAATGGCAGGTTTAGCTCCTGTTCTTGTTCCTTCCCTGAGTGCAGGAGGTCCTGAATCATGTCTTGAATGACATTGAGATCTTCGTGGGAAAGCTGGAAAATGCCACAGCCTCCTTGAATGACAAAAAGAAAAAATTAAAAAAGAAGAAAAATCAGGACAACAAGGGTGAGTAAGGATGTCAAAGGGGCAATCACGAGTTTCTAAACAAAAGCCTATTTGGAAAATAGTGTCCGCCTCTCAGATTGTCCGGAGCAAGATCCTGTGAATGAAGGGACAATGTAGGAGAAGACATAGCAGAACCAGTTCGCCATGTAGCAGTCCAGAAAGGACATTTCTGAGCAGAGTACCAACTAGGTCTTGCAGGCAACCTGTGTAAGGTTCTGGGATTTGTATAAGCAGTTGGTGTAGATATTTTAGGTTCTGCCTTTTTTACAGCTTCATGAGCCAGTTGCTAGATTACATACTGACTTATCCATGCTTCAGAACACTAATTGCACCAGCTAGTGGGTAAGCAACCTCTTTGTTCCAGACAGACTCAGAGTGATAAGCCAAATTTCTGGTTAATTAATTAAACAGGAAGAATTTGTGCACTTGTAAAGAATCAGAGTTTTTAAGCAGAGATGATATTCTTGTTATTAGAGACATTCTAGGCCGAGTCAGGTGAAGTTCAAAGCATTTGGAAAATGGCATTTGAAATAATAAAATGGCCTTACTACGGTGGGGGGGAGGCACATGAATCATTAAGCAGAATGAGGAAGTCAACTTAGGCAGCTGATTGTGGGTATCATGAAAGTTCCTGAAATTGTTGGTTTTTAAATGTTGACCATAATGTTTTTATCAGCAGAGAAGGGGAGACATTTTTACAAGCTTTTCTTTCCTATGAACCAAAATAACATGGTTTGCATCAAGTGCCAGGCATCATGATGGGGGACAGGGGATGGATTTTCAGACCACAAAGCCAAACCATGAGAAGGACACTTTGAGACTCCTCGTGGAACCTTGATTGGGGTATTATTATGCACTGGAAAGGTATACCCTGATTTTTTTTAAAAAAGTGTATCACTACATGGCTGCAGCTGGTTTGTCTATCTGACCTTCTTCAGGTATTTTCCCTGAAAAAAAATCTTTGTTGTCAATATCTGTCCTACTAGTTTTGAAGATGGCCTGAACCTTTTTTCTTTTTTAAGGCTAGTTTTTAAGTCTTTTTTCTTTTTCAAGTGTACTCTAAAGTAGGCTGTCTTTCAGGGGTTATTTGTAAGACAGATGCAAGCCCAAAGCTACTAGAGGTACCTAATAAATTATTAATCAGGTTCATTTTAGCTCCATTTAATTCTGATGTCTGTAATTGTTACAGCTAGTATTAAGTTAATCAGGAAGCAATTAAAGTTTTTGCAGTAAATTTGATATGTATTACATTTTTTCTGAAGACCTGACTGAACAATGAAAACAGGTATCTGAAGTGTATATTGTGGGAATATTGGGAAAAAAAATATAGTACACACAAGGTAAATGATTTGTACTGTAATTGAAAGCCTCAGCAATCAGCAAGATTATGCAATGAAGTTGTTGTTGTTGTTGTTGTTGTTGTTGTTGTTGTTGTTGTTACGTTACCTCCTCCACAACTAGTTAAAAAGTATGAGTCTTTGGATTTAAGATGGCTTTGCTTGTGGAAGTGATCAGGATTAAAGTTTTCAAATAATGTATTTCAATTACTTTAGCTTAACTGGTTTGTAAATGAGATTCTAAATTGTGTAACACTGTGTTTTTCTGGACTTTATGCTTAGCCTCATGGATTAGTCCAGAATTTCTCAGGCTGAGGGTTGTGCTCTATATCTCTAGCATCCTTTTTGTCTTATCTTTTGGAAGATCTGGCTAACATCTAGTTATCTCTCTGGTTCTGCAGTGCCTTCAAAACCTGAGTTTGAGGATTGTTTCCAGAAGATTAAATACGGTTTCAATTTGCTGGTAAATCTACAGTCTGTGTGTCCTTGGCAGAATTTTCTTCAGCACCAACAGAGTTGGCTGCATTTCCTAGGGGAAAGACTTCTCTTCCTAGTCTCCATAGCAAAGAGTATCTAGGGTAGCAACACAAAGAAACCCTTTATGCCCATCTGTAACCGTTCATTGCTCATGAAGAATTTATTTGGGAAATATTTTGTCCCATCTCATAATTATGAGAGTGGAGTTAGGATTGTGAGGACAGAGGAGAGGAATGGACAAAACATAAAGTTTGGTATGTATGTTGAGTGGCTATATGTAGTTAGATGGACAATCTGATCTTATGTGTAGCTTAAATGTAGCTTACCCCTGTTCTTCAGGCAGAAATTATCAGCAAAGTGACTCACACTAATTAAGATTCAATACACAATGCTGCTGGCAGGCACTGTCCACAGAACTTCCCTTTAAAATTGCAGTGTAAAGGGCCAAACTGGGAAAAGATGCTGTTCTTGCCATTAGCAAAGGCATGAAAAGCTTTTTTTAAAGGTAAACAACAGCCATACAGTGCAGGTAGGGGAGAAGGATGATCTAGATCATGGTTCTGTTGTACAGGCCAGAGGAGTTTTAACCCTTTGCCTCCACAGCAGTCTTTGCATCTGCTGTTTGCACTGGAAGAAAAACAGCTATTTGTGCTACTAGATTTTTCCCGCTCCCATGCAAAAGGATAGCGCAGGGAGTCTGACATTGGCTGGGGCTGTAGCAGAGGGCAAAAATCAAAGTCTCCTAACCATCCTTTGCCGATGGCTACGATTTACTTTTTAAAAACTTCCCACACCATTTGTAACTGCGTAAATGGCATCTCAACTCATCTAGTTTTATAACCAATTATATCTGAATGGCATGGCTTCATTTCTTCCACAGCTGGTCAGGCTGCAGTTTCCATCATTATGCTGGTGGGCTATCTCAACCTTTCCTCTCTGCTTGATTCCCCCCGCCCCATTTAAATTTCTCCTTTCTTGCGGGAGTTAAGAATGGCAGGAAAAGAGCCATTTTTGACCTAAGGGGATGGAAAGGCAACAGAAGGGTTAAAATGCTTCTTTCACCTTATTTTATATATGAACCACCAAACCATCATTCAAACTGAATGCACCTCTTATCTCAACATCCTAGTTATTCTGGTTGGAAGGGAGATGCAGGTTTACAAAATTAGGCTCGGTCCATGCTCTCATGGGAGCGGTGCAGATGGACCATGCAAGGTCACTGTATATCCCTTGCTTGTCGGCTAATCTCTTATCTCAGACATAATTAATAAAGACATATGATTCTGGGGTGGTTTGTTTCTCCCACCTGCAGCCTGTGCATTGATTACAAACTTGAAGGGCTATGAACAGCAAGGATTGCTTGTCATTTTTCCCCCTCTCCCCCAGGGGAAACTTGAAGACACCATGCAGCAACCCACAGCTCCTGAAATGGTTCGCCTGGTTTTTTCCACTCTCTCCATTGTGAGTATTCTAGGCAGCAAGGGCTCCTGATCATTTCTAAGGAGCATAAACCTTTTTGACTTAAATGTCAATTAATTATCAGAGGAAAGTTGAGGGAAAGAAAGCATGTCGTTTCTTTCCCCACATCACTGTGTGCCTTTAATATTCTGATACATCACTGAAAAATGTTTCCCAGTCCCAAGTCTGGGCAATGTCATATAGGTCCATTTCTAATGTGGATAACCCTGTTGTCATCCAGAGCTTGGGAATGTTACTATTAAGACTACATCTACACATGTAACTTTAGACCACTGACTATGCTAGCTAGGGTTTCTGGCAGTTATGTCACCCAATATTGTTGTGTATACACTGGGAGAGGAGAACACTGAAAACATGGCTCCAAAAGAAATTCCTCAGACCACAGAATCCCTAGAAAGAAAGAAGAGATGTGTAGTGTTGTCTTTAGTCACCTCTCCATCGAACTAAACAGGCACTGGTGCCAGAAAGTTAAGTGTTTGTCCCCAGGCCTATAACTAGGAGCTGTTGTTTCACCTATCCTTTCAACCTTGTGTAGCTTAACTATAGACTTAACTAGAGGCTTAACTGTAACTAGGAAAAGGTTGTTGGTTTCCATAGTTGTAATGTGCTTATTATTCTGTAGGTTTTGGCCAATTGTCCCTGGGCCAACCTGGCTTCTACGGTAGTCTCACCTTTGCTGAGTCCTGCAGGTATTGACCTGCTGAAACGCTCTCTGAATCATAAAGAACAAGTTATTTGGAGAAGTTTGGGAGCTGCCTGGAATCTAACCAGGTAATGACAATGACCAAAGACAAGGCAATGGCCAAAATGCTATTGGAGAATTATACAAAAAGTGTAACATTTAGCAGTGAATGGTGGCTGGTTAAGAAATCTGCATAGGTATTAACTGCTGCACACCAGGTCACACAAGTCAGTATGCAACAGATACTGCTTAAGGTTGATAACTTGTATCAATTTGCTACTAAATTTTATGCCTTTTGCATAATTGTGTAACAGGATTTTGGCCAGTGTGTGTAAGTTAGCTCTGACAGGAAATGGACTACATGCCAGTTCTGTGCCACACTGTAGCAGGAGCCTCAATGCCCTATTTGCAATACTTCTGTGAGGCAGGATTGCCCCAGATATTTTGCATGTCACAGACAAAGATTGAAACCATTCCTCCTCCTTGCACAGAAGCCAATTGCAGTGGCAAATGAATCTTCAATGCAAGTTGTAAAAGAACATCTTTAACCATACCTTAATTCAGGAGGCAAGCTTGAGATGCACAAGACAAGCCACTTGGCACTCAGATATATACTTGGCTGCTGCCTCAATCTCCCTGCTGGTAGGACCAGCCCTGCTGTGAGGCTACTTCAGAAATTTCAGGAAGTTCTTTTCTTCCCTTGCAGGGCAGAGTATCCAGAGGGACAATCCATCCCTCCTTACAATCCCAAGTTCTCAGACGGATGGGTGCTGCCTATGCCTACTCAGAGGCAAAGCTCCATGGACTCAGATAAGGTGAGTTTTTCTTTAAAAAATAAGCAAGCATAAGCAAAGTACTGTATAGTTAGAAACCCCAGTGTATAATAGATCACCATAGTATAAACTGGTTTACAGATTAAAACCCTTGTATAGCAAAGCATTTCTGAGCAGAGGAGGTAAAAAAAACCCCAAAAGACTCTATTAGGAAAGCAGTGGAATCAGCTGCTGGTGAGTTCTGAATTAGAAATTTAAGACAAGTGAAAGAAAAGAAAAGGGCACCCCTCATTACCCTTTCCTGTCTCCTCCTACTTATGGGAGGAGGTTTTCTGTTTTATTTTAATTCTTTTTGTAAATGATGCAATGCATCTGTGCTGCCCTAATAGAGTCTATTTTTCCCCAAAAAATTCCTGTCCCTCTGCAGAAGAGCAGAGGAAATGTTTAATTTGCCAGTATCTTGAACTGGCCCTCTGTTTAAGCCACTTCATGATAGGGCAAATGACAGCTACAAGGCTTGCTTTGATTCATTTCCACTGATTGCACATGCTGGAAATGAACCAAAAGAGAGTGATCCTATCTGCACCAAAAAAGTAGAAGCCCCTGATAGGTGCGAAGAAACAAACAGTTAGGATCGCTCTGAGAATGAGCTGGTTTACTCTTGTGTCATGTGATTGTCAGAAAAATGAGCAAAGCAACCCATCCTAGCAGCAGATCAAACAGTCGGCTAAATGCCTGTCTGGTCTCACTGTAGATCAACTTTGAATCACTGGCCTTGACTTCATAATAGGTTTTTGAATATCCAATGTGTGTTATCATTCTTCTCACAGGCCCGCAATGGAATGAAAAATAGCTTCTCAGAGAGGTATGTCCTTTTGCTACAGTACTCCTGTAAGAATGACACTTATAGCCATGAAAACATGTAAATTCTGTTGAATTCAACAGCAGGAAAAAATGTGAAAAAAAAATACAAGAAAACATGCAATAGAATTGGGATATCACTCTGCATACAGATTCCTTTAAGCCACAAATTTTGATTACACTTGCATAAACAAGAACTAAAGATGTCTGCTGGTTTTGCCTGAGAAAATATTGTAGTGTCTGTAGCAGAGTGCTGTTGGAACCACTCTTGTACATACCTTCACAGCATCCTCTATGTGATGACTCTGAAAGAAAATTGAGAATTGTACTGTCTAGATTTCCCCAAAGTATCAAGCCTCAATTCTGGGTCTGTGAAGTGCTTTGGATATCAACCTGCAGAAGACCCATTCACCATGGCCCATATTTAGGGATTTTTTCAAGTCATGTGCAAAATATCAGATAGAACAAAGGCTGAGAGCTGTTGCCTTGAAGGATTTCCAAAAAAGTGGCCGTGTTAGTCTGTCTCAGCATACTGGCAAAATTCAAAGAGCCAGCAGGGAGGGAGAGGAGAGAGAGAAAAGAAAAAGAGAGGAAGAGTGAATAGTGGGGGCAGGAGAGAAATATGATGACACTAAAGACTTAACAGATTTATATCAGTGTGAGCTTTTGTGGATGAAGAAGTAGATTTTCTTCCATGAAAGCTCTCAAAGAAATAAATCTGTTAAAGTACCACAGTATTTTGCCTTTCTCTTTTTCTCTCCCCCCCACTTTAATATTGCAAGCAGGTCTTAAAGAATGTTCCCTCGGAATGTAAAACAACATGGCATTCCTCTACTCTTTTTCTCCTCCTCTACGTACTGATCTCATCTTCTTTTCAGGGCATCGGATTGTCCCCAACTCATGCAAGCCATTTATGAGTTCCATGCAAGAAATTCCAAGGAGCTTACTGTGACCAAAGGAGATCTGCTAGAGGTAAGATGGAACTTTTCCATAGACTCTCCTCCTGGTAAGCTAAGCATGCCTTACAATCAACTAAAAAGAAAAAAGGGGGAAAGGACAAATTTTAAAAACTCTTTTTTGGCCAAGATGTTGCAAAACATATGTTGGTTACAAGACAAACTCCAAAGCCAATGCTCTAAGGATATTGTTATTAGACCAATTAAAAAAGGCACAAGATCCCTTGCGCAGGCTTTCAAAATAAGCATATGACTTCTGCATTTTGAAGAACTTGGATCCCTAATTTAGCCATTTCAGCAGTGGGACCCTTCCCTGGAAGAAGATTATTTCATACCACCTATATTGTAGTTTTTATCTCTGAGGGTTTCCTTCCAAATCCAAGATAAAACCATGTAGATAGGGTTCTATTGACTTTGTTTGTCTACAGTAATCCAGTCTTGACAGCACAGAAACTGCTTAAGTCTCCTATCCCTTCCTATACAAGGCCTTTGGACTTTACACCATATAGAGATGGCATTGGATTGTTGCATTTCAAAAAAGGAGATTCAGCGTTTATTGCTTTTGAATTACCTTTCTGGTTTCAGCAAAACTAGGACCCATGCAGAATGCCTGCATTTCTTTCTCTATTGTCTCATTAAACAGCAGGTCAGTGTCATTGTTCTAATATGAACCTTTTCCTGCCCCACTCAATGTAATGTTATGTCCAACAATTTATCTGCCTTAAAAGCTTGTGTAGAGAAATTTGTGCCTTTTTAGTTGTCTTAATAAAGATTTGTATGCAACCCTTTCTTAACCTTTGTAAAAATAAGATCTTCCAAAGACCTTACTCCATTGCTGAACCACTAGCAACTCTTTTCCTTTTGCTATGCATCATGAAATTTGACAGTCAAGTTGGACAGTTTCAGCTTGGACTAACATATCTCCTTCTTCCTGGCTATATTCCAACCTCATTAGTACTTCAAGTCTGATTCCTGGCATAGCCATTCATAGAATCCAGTGGTACTTTGCAAATCAGCTGTAGCTTATCACAAATCACTTCCCTTCTTCTTCTTCTTTTTTAAGGTGTTGGACCAGCGGAAAAAATGGTGGCTTGCTAGAAATTCTGCAGGGGAAGAGGGTTACATTCCTAACAATATTCTGGAGCCTGTGGATCACAAGGCATTTAAAGGAGACAACATAGAGCAAGTAGGAACAATTCTTTTCTGTGTCCAATGGCATGGCAGAGGCTCAACAAATAAGATGCTAGGAGCTTGTAGAATACTTTCCTTGTATAATATATAAGCATGTCCAGAGGAAGCCTTCCATGATAAATACAATTTAATGCACAATGTTCCAAAGAATCTGTGGGTATCTCTGTGCATAGATTATGCTTTCTTCCTCTTGCACATCCTCAGCCACATCAATAGGAAACCAGCCCACCAAATGACTGCCTGCATGTAGATTGTGAATGGACAAAACTACGTGTATTTGCTTGCTTTTCATTGCACTACAATGTTTCAGTCATTTACTAGGAATATCTGGGAGTTGTGGAGGGTTAGCACTTGACCACAATCTCCTTTCCAGCATCTGAGGTTTTAGAGACATTTTCCCTAAGCCTAAGGGCTAGAAACCTGATTGGGCTATTGAATGAATGCCAAAATTCTCAGCCTATTGAATTGTTTGTGTTAAATTCTGGAATGACACAAAGTTCTTATTAAGAAAATCAGAAATATTGGAAGAGCAACACTTTCAAGCCTTTCAATATGAGAAATATCTAACTATTAAAGAATCATTTCAGATTTCATAGTTTCCAGAGCAAAGATTTCCTGAACTTGGGTCTTGTTAATTGAAAGCTAGAAGAGAACAATCCAATTGCCAAAGTTTACAAACAATCAGATGCACAGAATTTACAGCTTTGGCTGACTGTATAGAAGAATGACTCACTCTTTATTCTCCTTTACCACAAAACCTATATGTCCTGTTGTTTCTGCATTCAGATCTCAAGAAGCTTCCCTGACCTCCATCCCAATTCTTCACCTGCAGAGGTCACAGTCTGGCTCAGGACAAAAGGCTTCTCCAAGATGTAGGTGATACATTAATAACTATTAATTATATTGATAACTAATTGTTATCCCAAGACACCATACCCAGATAATAACTCTGCCTTCTATTCATCCTGGATTATATACTGGTTAATTCACAATTTCATGTACTTCCAAAAAAGACAGAGATTTAAGCCTGTATAAAATCCCCATCTAAAGTGAGAATATTAACGAAGTGTGATCAGAACTTGGAAAAGTTCCATTTTTAGACTGCCACACCAAGCTTTTCCCTCCCTACAGTATAGCTACTAAGCCTGATAGAAGGGCCCACTGTGACTGCAGTTGGTGTGCATTTTCAGGTTTAAAGATTCTCTGGTTATTTCTCCATTGGAGGAAAAACCATGTATCTATAACACAATTATAGCAATTTGATACCACTGTAACTATCACAGTGTGATCCTACAGAATCTTGGAATTTGTAGTTGGGAGGATACTTAAAATCCTCTACAGCAAAGAATTCTAAGTACCTCATCACAGTACAGATCACAGAGTTCTGTAAGAAGGAGCCATGGCAATTACAGTGGTATTAGATTGCAATAGCTTTGTAGTGTGGAGTCAACTGAAGAACAGGGGGGAATGTTGCCCCTTACATAGATACCATTCTTATATGCCCTATCAGAATGGTGTTTGACATACATTAAAAAAAAAAGACACCCCATAGAAAGATAACATATATACTCAGGGCAGACAAATATGTATGTCTGCTTTTGCTTTTCTTGCAGTTTTTTTCTGCACCCGAAGAACATGGCAGAATAATACAAGCAGATCCAAACACAGAATATTTGCCTTATATTCAGCCCCTTGGTCCATTTAGAGCAATGTTACTAACACCAATTGACAGCATGGCTTTCAAGAAAGATTTTATTTTTTTTAACCTAGCCCTACCTCGAGATTCCTGGTAGTCTCTGCCAGTTTCCCACCCAAATACCAACCAGGCCTTGACCCTGCTTAGCTAATACGAGATAGGATTCATTACATTATGGTGGATTTTGATTAAGGGATAGTGATGGAGAATAGAAAGGGACTGTAGGGGGGAAAACATCCCTGGTCCAACTCTTTCTTCATCTTTCAACAGCGCTGTTAAATCCCTTGGTGTCCTCAATGGGCAGCAGCTTCTGTCAATGAGCCAGGAAGAGCTAAAAACAGTCTGCCAGGAAGAAGGGCACAGAATTTCTCTCATGCTTGCAGCAGTCAAGGCATCACTGCAGGTAGCATGGTTTCCAAAACTAACAAATCTGCTTATCTCGCTGTTTGTTTTTGTGACTAAAAATGTACTAAAGGGGACATTTTGACTGAATAACATGCCACATTGCCAGTGTACACTTACATGGGGTATTCAGCAGAGCTTCAGTTTCTCAGTGACACAAATGAATGCAGAAACAGCAAGGTAGTAAACCTGAATGAGTTATTGCACTGGTTTAAATCATGTGGCTACATACTGGGGGCGGGGGGGGGATGTTAGTTTTTTCAATCCACAACAGACTACTGTGTGAGAAAATATGAGCCCCCTACCTTACGTCTACACTCCTAACTTTATGGGGCCTACCATTAAGCTGTTTTTATGGACAGATCCTGTACATCACAGGTTCTGTCCATAAAAATAGCTTAATGGTAAGCCCCATAAAGTTAGGAGTGTAGACAAAGGATAAGGATATGTAGTGAAGATGTTCACTCTCAAACATTCATACCTTTGGAAAAGTGATTGGCAACTTATAACCTTCCATACGTTGTTGGATTGAACATCATATCATGCCTTTGCAGTGGTTGATGTTTAGGGGAATCACAGTTCAGCCTCTAGAAGGCCCCAGTTTGCTCACTTGAAGTTTCTTTCTCTTCTTTATGTGCACCTCTATTATAATACCTCCCAAATTGTTGACTAGTGTAAGCAAAGTGCCAACAGCATCTCAATTTGGATTCATATTCTGTTTGTGTATGAAACCTAGCAGGTGGCCTTCAGTATGTGCCTATTACCAACCCTAAACATTACAGCACTGCTAACAGGACAAATGAGGACAATCCCATTCCTGATCTTTACCTTCATGTCTGTAGTGCAATTTCATCCTGCATACTGATATTTCTCTCTCCTTCCTTCCCTTAACAGTAAGTTCTCCAGAATAGCCTTCAGCTATTTTCAGCCATTCTATGGTTTGCATCTAAGATACCATCTCTGCAACAAGTAATGACTCTCATATTCATTGCCGTTCAAGAACATATCCTCATTATGCATGGTTATCCTTAGGTGGCACATACATACACATATAGCTGTAATGGTTAATAAACAGTAAAAGTTGGTGCCAGCAAGAGATACTGTTGCTGTTGTTATTCTAAGTTATCTATAGTTTAAAGTTATGTAACATTTTACAGCTGTAGAGATTGTGTTATCAATCTTCCAAGACTTAACAAAAGTGGTAGGTAGCAAACACTATTCTTCACTGAAACAGAATCAATCCTACTTGAGTTCAAATTCAACAATTTAATGGAATATCCTTTTGTTTTCTTAAACAATGTTGACTTTCAATTCTCTGTTGTCAGTACCCCTGTAGTTTTGTATCTAATAAAGACTTTTAAGATCCCCAAAGATACCTTTGTGTTTAATATAACACAGTACTGTAATCTCTTTAGCACCATTTCAGGACACTGGTGAAACAGTGTTTCACAGATGACAGCTGCTCTTCTCTCAAGAAAGACAAGGGAACACACTCCGCAAGTAATATTTACTCAATAAATAGAATCCTTCCAAGGCCATCAGCCTCTATTTCAGGAGCTGGGGAAATGTCAGCCTGCTGATGATGTTGGAGAGCAGCTCCCACCACCTCTACCCAACATAGCTAATAGTGAGGGAAGCAGGGTTTTAACAATAGCCGGAGGGTCACATTTGGACCACAATGGTCTGTCTAGAGAGTAGAGGAAAATCCCCATTTTAGAAAATAAATACACATGACAATTCCAAAGGCTCTTTCAGATGCTCTGATTCAATAGCAAGAACTCACAGGTTGTGGAAGGCACAACAAACTCTTTACATGGCCTCCATCTTGAAGATTCCTCTTTTTAGCTATAAGGGCAACATTTGTTTCAAAATGCAAAATTATCAAGCCCTGAACTGAAAAGTTACTTCCATAGTTTTGCCATGGAATTCTGGTTATGCTTTGATATGGCTACTGATCAGGAAAATATGAAGATAGGAAGAGAAGAATTAGCACAGACCCCATCCATGTGATTCCCAATTCTAAGAGAAAGGTGGCATATTAAATAAAAAAATTGAGTAAATCTTTGTTTGTACTATTTAAGTACACCATTTGCCCTTATCCATTAAAATGGTGTGGGAAACAGAACACAAACAGGAAAAAATTCAGGGACAGAACATATTCACACAACAATTCAAACTACAATGCATGACAAAACAACACCTATGAAGTTCACAGCAAAAAAAAAAAAAAAAAAGATGCAACAGAAAACTCAACAAACTACATTCCAAAACTTTTTATTGATCACTACAGCCTTCAAAATACAAAAGCTTCGATTACCATCCTACAAAAAGAGATCATCAGATTCTAGAGAAAACAGTCTTTAGACTATTAAATCAACTGTAGCCACAAGAAAACCGAAGTGAACAAAAACCTATTATCCAGCATCAGCTGGGGAGATTTAGTAAATGTTCCTCCTCTATTCCTTCTTGTTATTCCATTTGGCCATCTTGTTATTAATGGGAGTTTTCATGAAGCGGCTGGAGCTCATGTAGGCAGCAACCTTTTCCAGGGCCTGGGAAAATCGAAGAAGAAACTTTTACAAAATGGGGGTCACAGAAGGCAAAGAATTTATCTCTGACTCAGAGACAACAAATTTAAGACGCCAGAGGAAAAACAGCAACCTGTTCTGTTTGTAGCTTCTTGTCAGAATTGATTTATTCATACTGAAGAACAACATACAACAAATGGTGGGCTAAGCCATGTAAACAACATGGTGCCCTCCAAAAGATTTGGACTACAACTCCTATCTGTTTAGCTAATGGTCAAGAGTTATGGAACCTGTAGTCCAAAAGATGGAAGGCTATTAATCCAGCCCAAGGTTTCCAGAAATGGTTTCTTTGTTCAAAACTTTATTAATAATGGATCAAAAATTATTACTACCTATGCATTTTGTTGGATCTACTGTTATTCCACTACCATCACTCAGGTCACCCGCCCCCAAAAAGTTTTGAGATGTATTGACAGAAACTGGAGGCAGAAATACAGAGCCTTCTGTATGCTGCTAGATGACACCTCCCATAATTTCTGACCATGTTGGCTGGGCCTGATGAGAGTTAAAGAGTCCAACAACATTAGAGGCCAGTAGGCTCTCCGCTTCAGTTGCAGGACATATCCCAAAACAATAAAGTTTTCACTTGCTGAACAGGACATTGCCCAGCTGCGCTGCTCAGGAAAAGAGTAGCAAGCAACCTTGAGGAACAGCCCATCCTCCTAAATCAGGAGACATTCCAAGAGTGCTGGGGAGCATCCTGTCATTTAATAAACATGTTACAGGAACACATGTTAAGATATTCTCAAAGAACCAGCCGAGAACTCAGCAAGCATCTCTCTCTCTCAATTCACATAACTGTAGGGATACCAGTCAAGACTTCCTACAGTCAGGCACAGATGGCCAAGACTTTATAACTTGCAGCAAAACTAGTATATCCTTGCATTGCTAGCAGCTGCTTCATCTTAGCAAAGAACTGATTAAACAAGAAATGAAAGGGACATTACTATCCTGCCTGAAGCCTTTTTAAGTGCCAAAAAGAATCCAGCAATATTTTTCACATATTTCTGTCTCTTGGACAGCTGCTCCAGCCATTTCAGAGCCTTCTTGCCATTTAATCTGTTTGTGGCTTCTTTTCAGAAAGTAACAAACCAAGTCACAAGATGTGTATAAAGACCTAGAAGCAAACATCTCAGGGAGACAAAACTAACCTCAAAGCGGGTGAGAAAATCTTGAAGGTTCTTGAACTGATCAAGGCACTTGGGTTCGAACATGCGGTTTTGGTCGAGGACATCATACATGAGGAAGTCAACAAATGTAATCTGGAAGAAAACATAAAAATGAAACATCTACTACAGGGATCACGTCTACTTCCAGACACTCACATGTGGATACAAACATACCTTGTCTCCAGCAAACCACTTTCTGTCCCCCAAAAACTGGGAGAACAGTTTCAACTTCCCTGGTAGTTGCTCCAAGTACCCTGGTTTCAGTTTTTCCTGCAAGAGAGGAAAATGGAAAGAAACAGAACTGTGACTAGATAAAATGCAACAGCATTCCTCATCCCCATGGACCTATAGAATTTGGTGTCATTTGTGCAACATCCATCAGAGAGTAAACCAAGATGACTCCTTATCTCCAGGGGAAAAGACACCAGCAATACCAAGTAGGAAAGATATGAGAAGAAATAGCAATATTTATTTATTTGATTTGTACCCCACCTATCTGGACCAATGGACCACTCTAGGTGGCTTCCAACATAAAATTTAAACAATAAGTGCTTTTTAAGCCGAGCATACCACCATAAAGGTTTTTCCCCCTTTCTTCTAAACTCTATTCACTATAACAACTTTACACAGGGAAACAGCCATTTTACACAACCGATACAGCTACTGTTCATATATTATTACTTCCTGATAAGGGTAAAGGTAAAGGTAAAGGTTCCCCTTGATATTTTTT